GAACGAAGACGACGTTGGAGGTAAATTCTGCGTGCTCGTTGATAGAGAGGGCAGTCTAACAGAATGTGGCTAATCGATACTGGAACTTGACACTGCTCACGGAGAGGAACAGGGTGCCTCTCCATGAGATACCCATGAGTAAGAAACGAGTGTGGGCCAATGCGAAGGCGGGAGAGAGTGGTCTCCCAACCTCGGCACTGATGACAAGAAGACGGCCAGTAACCTATACTCGGTTTAATAGAATGAAGTTTGTTACCGAGCAGAGTTGACCAACTTTGTTGCCAACGGGTGCGAAGGTGGGTAGCTATTGCAGCAAAATAGTCCAGAAATGGAACACCTCGATAGGAAATTGGTAGGTCATGTACTGCTGACCGCGCAGCAGTGTCTGCCTGTTCATTGCCCTGTACGTCGACATGACCAGGGACCCAACAAAAAACAATATCTTTATGTTTGGTAGAGATACAGCGTAGCCAAAGTTGGATACGGAGAACTAGGGGATGAGATGTATCAAATTTTCGTATAGCCTGTAGAGCACTAAGGGAGTCTGAGACTACTACAAATGATGACACAGGCATAGATGCGATACGAATAAGTGCTGCAAGAATGACATACAGTTCAGCAGTAAAAATGCTAGCTGAAGATAGTAAATGCCCCCGCACGACGCTGTCCGGAAACACTGCTGCGAATCCGACGCCGTCTGAAGACTTAGAGCCATCTGTGTACACAGCGGTGGCATGAGAATGGGAGTGGAAGTGATCAAGAAAAAGAGAGCGGGAAGCCACCGTAGGCAGTTGAGCTTTCGAGCAAGGGAGTGAGAAAGAACAGACCCGAACAGCTGGAACTTCCCAGGGGGGTAGGGAAAAGTGAGATGCTACATGAACATATAAAGGTGGTAACTGAAGGGAAGACAAGAGTGAATGTAGGCGAAGAGAAAAGGGACGGAGCAAACAGGGGCGGCGAACGAATAAAGAATGTCTACTAATATCGGTGACCATTCTATAAATGGAAGGATTGTGTAGATCGTGAGAGTGTACATAGTAGCGAAGGCAATGGGCATCACGGCGATCAGACAAGGATGGAACATTCGCTTCTGTATAGAGGCTCTCAACAGGGGAAGAGCGAAAAGCACCAAGGCACAAACGTAATCCTTGGTGATGGATAGAGTTAAGGCTAGAGAGAGTAGCAGGAGAGGCCGCGGAATAAATCTGGTCACCATAATCGAGTTTCGATAAAACGAGGGCTGAATGTAGGCGAAGCAGAGTTCGACGATCAGCTCCCCAGGAAAGATGAGCAAGGGTTTTAAGAAGGTTCAGCCGGCTGTGACAAGTTGCCTTCAGAGAGGTAATGTGAGGTTTCCAGGAATAACCTATGGTCAAAGAGAAGGCCTAGAAACCTGACTGTATCACGTTCGGGGGGATACGGGAGCCATAGAGATACAAAGGATGATCGGAGATAACAGAGCGTCTAGTGAAAGTAATTTGGTGAGTTTTGGTACTTGAAAATTTAAACCCATGCGTGGTGGCCCAAGTGGAAACACGGTCGACCGCATGCTGGAGAGAAACTGCAATAAGATGACAGTCAGCACCTGCACAAGCAATAGCGAAGTCATCAACATAGAGTGATGACCAAATATTGGGTGGAAGAACAGAGGCCAAATCATTTATAGCAAGGAGAAAAAGTGTTGTGCTTAGAACACATCCCTGAGGGACACCTTCAGCTTGGACGAAGTCCGGGGAAAGAACATTATTGACTCGAACACGGAAATGTCTGTCAGTTAATAAAGTTCTTAAGGAAGGATGGTAGATTGCCTCGGAGGCCTAAGGAATGGGCCTGGGCCAAAATATTATACCTCCAAGTTGTGTCATATGCCTTCTCAAGGTCAAAAAATATGGCAATAACTGAGTGATTAATCGCAAAGGCATTACGAACATACGTATCCAAGCGTAGTAAGGGGTCTATGGTAGAACGACCCTTACGAAAGCCATATTGACTAGCGGAGAGACTGTTGTGTGTCTCTAAATACCACATTAAACGTCGATTTACGAGACGTTCCATCACTTTGCAAACTGCACTAGTAAGAGCGATGGGACGATAGTGGGAGGCATCATGTCCTGTAGTACCCGGTTTGCGGAAAGGGAGAACAATGGCAGATTTCCACAGCTGGGGAAGAACTCCTTGTGCCCAAATAAGATTGAAGAGGTGTAAGAGGACTACAAGGGCTGACCGATGTAAATGTTGTAACATACGAATATGAATGTCGTCAGGCCCAGCTGCCGATGATCGGCAAGCTGAGAGCGTTGCCTCCAGTTCTTGAAGTGTAAAAGGCACATTATACTGTTCTTCTCTGAGAGAAGAAAAGTCCAAGGGTACTAACTCTCTGGCAGACTTTGAGGAAAGAAACGAGGGGCATAGATGGAGCCCTCGGGAAATACGGACCAGATGTGTGCCAAGTTCAATGGCAACGTCGAGAGGGTTTGCTACATCAACACCAGCGACCCGTAGAACAGGAGCCGGGTCAGGAGAGTATTTACCACTCAATTTCCTCACTTTTTTTCCAGACTGCACTCATAGAAGAAGCAGAGGTCATATTATTCTCAAAACTGCTTTTTATGAAACATGATTCTGTTATATTCCTGTCGACCATGGACTTGCTTGATACAACTTTCTTAGCTTTTTGAAAATGAATTGGATGGTTAAACTCTCTCACATGAATAAATAGAGCATTAGAATCTTGTCCAGTTCTAATGCTATATTTATGTTGTTTTAATCTTAGTTGAAGAATTTTACCAGTTCGACAGTAGTAAACTTTATCGCATATTTTACAAGGAATCTTACAGACACATCAGTCAGCATTTTGGTGAGAATTTTTTATCAAAAGTTTTTTTTATTGTATCAAGATTTTTAAATACATCTTTGATATTAAAAGTCTTAAGACGGGAAGGCATATCAAGTTTTCAATGTAAGGAAGAACCAACATATTTATAGTTGAATAAGGTTGGTTGTCCCTTTTTGGATTGTAAAATGTATTTCTAGCTATTTTAAAGGATTTATCAATTACGTTTCTTGGGTATTTTAGATTATTAGCTATTTCATAAATTTTGGAGATTTCTTCATCTATGAAAGCGCTTGGAGTTTCGCTATTTTTTCATAGTTTTTTTGCATATATATATATATATATATATATATATATATATATATATATATATATATAAAATATATATATATATATAATATAATATATATATATATATATATATATATATATATATATATATATATATATATATATATATATATATATATATATATACACGGATATTTGGATGAAATTACTAATTGCGAACCTTTATAACAACAACAACAACAATGACACTTGTGACATTACAAACTGTTATTCTGACAAATTTCCTCTCTTTATAGAGTATTACCAAATAATTTTCTTACCAAAGTTCTACTCAGAGCGGAATGTTGTCATCATTAAAGCTTGGTCTGTATCATGTATTTATGTCTTATCTAAACTTATGATTCTTACAGTATTAAACATTTTGACTGTTATGCTTATATTGTATTAATATTGGTAGAATTACTGACAAAATGTTAAGTAAAAGGACACAAATGCAACTAATGTGACATGTTATCGTGGCAACGTTTCGCTCTCCAGGTGCTTTATCAAGCATTTAGCTGTAACGGCTTTATAAAGTTCCTGGAGGGCGAAACGTTGCCACAATAAAATGTCACATTAGTTACATTTGTGTCTTTTTACTTAAGATATTCTTATATTATTTAACGTTTATGTTCTAAACATTCAGTCGTCCACGGTTCTGATTGTTACAGCTTTAATAATCGAGTCTTCCACGATAAGCAAGGTTAATAAATTTGTAAAAGTAAAGCTTAAATATTTCTAATATTTTTAATGTACTTTATAATTTTTTTTAACTTTGAAATAATATGGATGAGAAGGAAACTACACTGTACTATCAGCTACCTACACTATGATATAGAGGTGGATTACACAGCGCCAGGCCTATACTGAATACAATTTTAAAAATGTAGCCGCTGTTTGCATAGTTGTTTCTCACAATTTTATCTTCGAGCGCATTCTTAACCTACTCATACTCCTAAATGCAATACCTTTGAAGGATTTTTCTTACTGTGATATTCACGTGCATGTGAAACTGACAGGCATTTCAATAGCTACGTTACATAAAGAACATGAGCGCACAATACCATGACTGGAACAATACACAAATAACTCACATACAGGAGAGATATAGGAAAGCTTACGACGACGTGGCGGGTCAGACTTGGACCGCTCACAGTCAATGATCCACGTCAGACCTAAACGTTGTCGTAAGCTTTCTCTCACTCCTATGTGCGGGTTATTTGTGTAGTGTGCTATATTACACATGGTGACTTTGGCACCTAGACGATGTATTGAAGTTTAACCTCCTGCATAAGTTTAGTTTGTTAGCAAGACGTTATTGGTTGAGCTGTGGGCGAAATGATGCGGCTCTTGTAACGATGAGAGAGACTAGAATATCTGCCCCTTTGCATGGAAATATAAATAGCAGATGAATTCAATACATATATTTATATACATTCCATAATGTATAGTGCAGTCCTCGGCAGCAACATGCATACACGAAATGACTACTTTTTCAAAATTTTTCATATTGATTTTTGTTTATATTGGTACCCGTTCTGGCATTGGAGTTTTACGTCTGGAAAATGGTATGTGTCCAGTGTTTTAAAAGCTCCCTGATAAATCTGCAATGACTGAGAAACATACACTTTAATCATAATTTAATCTCATATGTAGGATTTACAAGAAAGAGTAACTTATAGACAAAAGAGTATCGTTAGTATTTTTAAGACTCTTAGTGAAGATAGCAAAAATAAATTAATTAGAAATCTTACTTTTAGATCACATTAAGTTACATTCTGAGTAAGGAGCTTCCATGAAGAGGTTAAACTAACGCTATGTGTCCCCCACTTTGCAG